TATTCCATCGCTGACTTTTTCGTAGAACTGACTGAAAAGAATTTGACAGTTAATCATTCTGTTTGATGAAGATAAATGCCGTGTAGAATGCATGACCGGCAGAAGTTGCCAGTGTTGCTGTGGATATCTCGTATTGATGCCGCGGCAGCGGCTGAGCGCCAGACCCCTTCGATTGTGGTAAATCATTTGTGAACGTCGTCGTCGAAGTGTCGCAGCGTCGAGTTCTCATTGCAGCCATTTGAGGGGATCTCGCTACCGGCCGTCATACGCTCCGTGGCCGATAGTGACAGGTCTTTCACCGCAGTCGCATCCTTCTGCGAAGACGTCATCTCGCAGAAGAAGGCGGTGAAGGAGGCCCGGGAGGATGACCTCCACTCGGACCCAATTCGCCGCCGGCGAACCGTACCTACGGCCTAGGCGCGCTTACCAGCGCCTCATGCTGCCCTGAGTGTAGCTGCTGGTGTAGCCCTGATTGTAGACGGGACGGATTTGGACGCTATAGTGGTGTGGCCATAGGTGGTGCCCTTGCTGTTGCGGGTAGGCGCTGGGACGGGTCCAGATGTCTTAATATCAGCTGTTCCCGGACCCCTCCTATCTCAGGCACGAAGTGGCACACCGTGTGGTTTTAGTCGGTTCGATTCCCACACCGCCCCGCCGCAAGCCCCGGTGGGGCCCGAGGAGGTTTCCACAGGTTAAAAAAAAAAATGGTGATCTCTTCGGAGAAACTGAAGTTTTTGTTTGTGCGATTATGGACGAAGTTATCATTATTATCAAAACATATTCTGAAAGACATCTGTCGGGCATGCCACCGTCCTAAGGAATCAATCAGGCATATTATTTCTGATTATTCTCGTCTCGCTTGACCTTACTCACACAAGTGAGGTCAAGTGCGAGGCTCGGGACCGAACGTGATGAAGGACTACTGTGGACGCCCTCTGCTCCATCTCGGCGACTTAGGATATTAAGTCAAATTGAGTCGGTTTCGTCTCGCTAGCGGTGAATATTTGCACAAGCACAACCAAGTAGCCAGGATCATACACCAACATTACATCACTATGGTATCAAAAATAAAGCACTGGAACTACTTACTTCATATCTATATAATAGGGTTCAGAAAGTTGATATTAATGGTGAGCGGTCTCTAGGCTCTGTGGTATGAATGGGCGTTCCACAAGGTTCTATTCTCGGCCCTTTTTTTATTTTTAAGGACAATCTCGAGATTGTGTTATTTGCAGATAATACATCACTATTATTTAGACTAAAACATACACTTATTTTCACAAACGTAAACAGCGCCATTTCGAAAGTGGTTAATTGGTTTGTGGTCAACAATTTGTTTTTATATGAACAAAAAACTAAGTGTGTACGTTTTACTATGCCAAACGTCAAGCCAATGAAAACAGCCTTTTTTTTGGGTTTTTTCCGTAATGAAACCAACCCTGATGATTAAGGATGTCGGGTTAGACCTTGTAGACACTACGACATATTTAGGTATAACACTAAATTCTAAGTTACAGTGGGGCCCACATAAATTATCGAGTAGACACAGCTCAGCAGCATACACAGACAGAAAAATTCGAGAGTTGACTGATGTTGATACATCACGACTTGTTTACTTCAGTTATTTTCATAGCATAATGTCGTACGGTATTCTACTGTGGGGGGCTGCTACTGACATTCAAACTATTTTTGTACTACAAAAGAGAGCAGCGATTCGAGCACTTTATAATTTAGGTAATCGAGGCAGAAATTAAAAAAATAAACATAATGACAAGTCAATAATCTATGAAAAGGTAATACATGTTCATAAAAAAAAAAATAGCTTTTTGAAAGGAAGTGATGTACATTCTATAAATACCAGAAATAAAAATAAACTTGTAGTACCCTGCTCTAGGCTCCAAAACTCTTCGAGGTCTTGTTATCAAGTCTATTCGAGGTCAATGTGTCCTATTTTGTAATAAAATCCCAAATAATATTCAAGACTATTAACAAATTTGAATCCGCAATAAAACGTGAATTGTGTCGGAGAGCCTTCTACTCGATTGTGGATTACATAGAAGAGAAAAATGCTTGGGACTACTTTGCACAGGCTATTTCTTAAGTAAAAATATGGTGTACGCTAGTTTTTTTATTATTATTATATTTTTTTTCTTTTTTTGTTTCACTTCATTTTCTCTTTTATATGATTTATTTTCTTAATCTAGTTTTCTCTTCATTGCCTTTTTTTATGTTAGAGGCAGACGAGTGGATGGGTCACCTTACCTGACCTCTTAGTCCCTAACAATGGACACACACACTGGCACACATCGAAACAATGTTGTGGTATATTTAATGATGCCAGTGTATCTATCTGTAAATTGCAAAAGAGTGGCTATGAGTTTGGTTGCCATTTCTTCTCATAAGGCTCAACCGCTTGGAAACGGGCGGTTGTAGATCGGCACAGGCATATCATAGATTTTGTATCATCATCATCAACAGCCTATAATAGTCCACTGCTGGACATAGGCCTCTCCTTAGAAAGGAGGTTATAAAAGATGAGATAAGATTTTGTATAAGTTATTAAATTTATTTTGCTTACTATTTGACAAGACAGAGATTGTTGCTATTGTGTGTGATCTATGACTTATACAAAGATACCCACATAAAAGACGATTTAAAACATTTTTTTTTATGAAGTAAAGAGAGTTTGAGTTTTGAGTTTTGAATAGCTTGCACTTTTAGGGCAAGCTGTTTTTGTTTATATATTGGTTGATATTTATACCAACATGTGAATTTACATACTACATGGGGCCCACTTCTCGAGAATGGTCGGGCCACGTTGTATTGGGATCTATCTATTATCACAGATAGGACTATGGTTGCCTATAAGCCTGATATGGCGATAGACCGATTAGAGCGCCGCGCAATGATTGTTGTTATCGCCGTTCCTCATGACGAGAGTCTCGTGAAAGTTGAAAAAGAAAACAAATAAAATATTTGGATTTATCTCACGAGATTGTCGATATGTGGAATGTCGATTCAGTGATCATTGTTCCGATAGTCGTATCTGCTCACGGATTGATAGCCAAGAGCCTCGACCAACAACTTAAGAGGCTCACGTTAGACGGCTGGATCAAGGGTCTGATGCAGAAGGCAGTTCTCCTTGACACGGCTCTGGAGTCCTAACTACCAGTGTCTTGGTCCCTGTTATGGATTTTATTTCTGATCAAGTTCTTTTTATCCTTGTTTCAATGAGTTTAGAAATCATGTTACTTTATTTCGATAAAATTATAACGCGGTACGTCATGGCATGCCCCGGGATTGAGCCCCGGTAACTTCACTCACTCGATGAAAAGCAAGAAAAGAATTGCTAAATACCGGTTTCTGTGTTTCTTCATCTTCAGTCGGAACTGCTAATAGTACTAGGTACATTAGTTATTACACTATTGCCTGGTATGCTATATTTACGAATCATGTGCACGCGTCTTGAGCGATTCGAATAATACATTATATGTTGCTAATTAATAGGTCTTTACCTATAAAAATTGCCGTTTTGTATGAAATTGCCGTTTTGTATGCAATAAGTGAAAGTACTTATTTTTTCAAACTTTTTTATTTCTGTTATTCTAATTCTAATGCAATCGACGCATCTTTGCCAACGCATTGGCAGTTTATTGATGCCCTTCTTGTAAAAATCAGCTGGACGGGAGGCAACAAACTCTTCAAAGGCATTTTGTACTGCCTCTCGGGAATTGAATTTTTTACCCACTAAAAAGTTGTCTAAATTTTGGAAAAAGTAATAGTCGGTAGGTGCAAGGTCTGGTGGTAACATCTGCAACCAGCTTTGGTCAATCGGTCGTCCCCACTGCTCCTTCACGACAACGCGCGACCCCATACTGCGCAACAGACAGTCTCCAAGCTGCAAGAGCGGGGATTGGAAACTCTCCCTCATCCGCCATACTCACCAGACCTTGCACCTACCGACTATTACTCTTTCCAAAATTTAGACTTTTTAGTGTAGTGTTTTTAGGGCAAAAAGTGTCTCGAAAAGAGCACAGTAGTGGAGCGCCAACTATCCAGGTAATGAGGATGAAAATTTTGTAGTGTTAAACGATGGCGGCAATTTGTGGCTGGTATTAGCCCGAACAATTCCTCGGAGCACTCTCCATGATATATGCGATAAATGATATCTCCATGATAGTTTTAAGATTATAAACGTTAACATTTATATTAGATTACCGATCAATAGATGTTATTATTAGAGCATAATAAGAAATATATTGGACATGCAAATTATGAGAATGTTTCGTTTTCGGTTTTTGCCGCCCCCTTGAAAATGCCGACCGTGTGCGAGGCACGCTCTGCACACCCGTGCCCGGCGGCCCTGAATCGCACCCACGACCTCCGGCTTAGCAGTCAGTCTAATTTTCTTTTATAGTTCTAAAATTTTATATTACTAGAATAATATTGTACTTTACTCATGAACCAAAAGATTGTGGTGATTTTAATTTGAACGAGTAATTGAATGTAAATTTTAGTGTAAATTGAAGTAAATTGATTATGTATGACAAGCAATTCTTTCGTAAATAAAGTAAAATAACTCTTTCTTACTTATTCAGAAATGAATCATCGTAAATCACGTTCATTTCCTCTAAAATGCCCTAGAAATCACTGCTTGAGACCAGTTTTAGCTTGTCTTACGTATACAAAGAGCACATCTTGCAAAATCGATTCTTGAGTACCAGACATTTTAAAACCGCAATACTGACTGTCAGTGCTGTCAGTAGTGTCAGTGTCATAGCATTGCATTGCATTGCAATAATAATAGATTGGCTGTTACATGTAAGCCAAAATTTCAATTAAAATCATTTTTGTATAAAAATATTTTGTAAATGTAATTGTTAATGTTTTTTTTTGGATGTAGCAAAATATAATGTTTTACTAACTTTGCTGTATGCCTTGTTGTATTAAAATAACGTTAATACAAATTTATCATTTGGTTGCTTATTCTGTATGTACCAATGAAATGCAATATTCGTGAACTCGCTCAACTGAGCGATCGACCTTGTGTAATAGAAGGAAGACTAAACTATAAGAAGATTACCAATGGCAGTTATCGTAATCCATCAGGTTATTATTTTTTATATATGTATACTTTATTAGTTCTTATCCTGCACATCCTACTACTCTACAAAGTAATTTAAAATGACACAGTAACACACTACGCTTTATGCTACTTTCATCCTAAAAGAATTTCTTACGATAAAATAGAGATATTTGTGTATTTCCAGTAAGTACCTTTTAAATGTGTTTGCTTTAGTGTTTAACCTAATTAGATTTTCTTGTGATTCACCTCTTCTTCTATGATTATTTTGGTTTCTTCATTCTTAATGAAGTCAAGGCTATAGTATGTTTGAGTTTTAATTAGTGGTAATATAATTTGCCTCCACATTGCTATGGAGGTAAATAAATAAATAAATTACTTAATTTTACATTCATAACTGTCTGTCTTGTTAAAGTCTTACCATACAAAAATATTTTTCTTAACGAAATGGCTTAGGTATGACTTGTATTATATTAATATATCCTTTTAGCTGCTAGTCACAAGTTCTCGGCAATAATCTTCATGGCTTGGTTGGTTGGTAAAAACCTGTAGTTTTTTATTCAGCCATTATGACAATAGTGGGCTTGATATTGCCTATATATGTAGTAATATAAATCTCCAGAATTTATAATTGCATAAAAGCTGTGATGTAATTTAATAGAAATAATTTAAATCCAGTCAAAAATTTCAAACCAAACAACTTTCTGATTATTTTGTCACTCAAAGCTAATAATGATAATGTAGACGTACAGTTACATAGTTTGTAGTTTAAAACTGAAAATTAGACACTCTTTCTGAACTGTATTGTTACTTATTCTAAATTTAACCACTTCGCTTGTCAAACAAAAGGTGTTCATAAGAATGTGCATGAATTTGTTACCATTGTTCCGTTTTTGTATCCAGGTGGTCATACATATTTATTCAGATCAAATGGAATATTAATACAATAAATATTATTATTATTATTATCAAATATTAATTCACACAGCAATATTAATTTTGTAACAGGAAAATGTTATTATGTTATCCTTCTGTATTTTCTACAATAAATACCTACCTATGTTAGTTTTACGTTTCTTTTTTTTTACAGTGTTTAAAGAGAGATGGTTTCGTCTAATAAACAATTATTTATTTTATTTCAAAATAAGTGAGATGGGGAAATTCGATACAAAAAATCCCGCAGGAATGTTTGTTTTAGAAAACTCTTCAATACAAATGGAACATGGACAAAGTATTCCATTCTCATTTTCAATATCATTTATGTAAGTTGTTGTATTGGCCCGTTCGTTTTTTTTTTTCGTTTGTCGGCAGTACATTTTTATTAGTATTTGTATTTGTTTTACTTGTCAAGAAACAGAGCTGTATAGATAACAAATTAATACACTTTTGTCATCATGAGTTTAGTGTGTGGTCTGTTTGGATGTTGTAGGTATTCTATTTTAATTTATATTTTTAAGTAGAATGTAGCAGATTGGACATAATAATATGTGATGCAAATACCAGCAATTTTATGGGTAATGATCTAATAAAACCTCAATGAAGGCATATAATTATAAATAGTAATATTTAACTACTGAAGTAAGTAATTACTTTGCCTTAATTATGTCCCAATGGCAAGCATCAATTACTATTACGTAATAAAAAACCTTCACAGATGTTAAGGCAAAGCTTTTCTATTATTGCAGTTATCGTTTTTCTTATATTGTTTATTACCGTTTCAGAGATGAACCAGAGAAGCGCCATATATTTGCTGCACGTGCCGAGGATAATGTGGTGCAATGGGTGATAAAATTACGAGAGTGCTCTTATGAATATTTGCGCAACAAACTTCATGCTTTACAGTCTAAAATATATGCTGTAACAGGAAAGGTAAGTATAAGGAATAATATTTGAAATATATCACTTCATAAACTAAGTTGTGAGAATTGAAACATCATTAATAAATAACTTAAGTACTTGTAATATTTTTGTTTTCCAGCTGTGTAACCCAGATGCTTTCTTTTGTAGTTTCAATGTATGTCAATAAATATCTTATAACATAATAATCATGATGGCTACAGTGCAATTGTATTTGAAAAGTGTGAAGCGGTTATGAAAGTCACCTTACATATTACCTAGTAGGGGTGATGGTGGTGGCAAATTTTGGAGTTGGCAACCATATAGGATCGACGCGGGAGCTCGCTCTTATTTTTTCTTTCTTCTCAGCCTATGCTTGTCCACTGTTGGACATAGGCCTCTCCCAATGATTTCCAGCGGGGACGGTTGATTGCGGCCTGCATCCAACGGTTTCCGGCAACCTTTACCAGGCTCTTATTATTCTGTATATAATCATAAAATTTAAATATTTCCAATATCTACTAGCATTTACTATACTTAAGACTGCACGGAAGACGTAGTGGTTCAAACGTTCACCTCGCCGCCGCGCCGCTGCGCTGAGTGTAGTGGGTTCAACAAATTGTTGGTTACACACGAAGTTTTATTTCGGTCTGGGCGTTCTTTGTGTCCGTTTCATGTACGTTTGTAAATTCCCTCGCAAAAAATTATTACATTAGGTACCTATCATTTATCTCCAAGAAGAAACAAACACACCTTTGTTATAAAAATGTATGACCATAATTTCAAGCCTTGTCACGTTTCGTAAATTTGACATTGCAATGTTTTTGGTTAACATACCTTATTTCACTCAAAGCAATGTTAAGTGGGAATCTTGTGAAAACAAAAATTCTGTTATGCTCTGCTAGCTGACTATTCTCGACTGCCGCAAAGTCTTTGAGATATTAATACATCACTCGGCGGCACTAACGTTGTCTAGGACATATTATATAATAGTACATGGTGGTTCATTAGTTCATGCTTGGCTCCACCACAAGGGAACTCCTCATGATACTATTTGGGCTCACTCAGGCCCCCTTGTAAAGTTGCAGACAGGCACATTTTCATCCCATGGTTTAGGAGCACCGAACAGTATCAACAGAAATAACTTTTTTCCAATGAGTGGACTCCAAGATAATATTTTCGAGAGCACTATGACTAGTAAGAAGTGGTTCTTTTCAATAACTGAAACTTTGACAAATTATAATGAGATATCCGTATCTGCTTGATTTTTGCTTTCAACCTAAAAAACCAATGGGAAACAAAAACTAGGCATATCCTTATTAGTAATCATCTCAGCTATATTCTAGAGTTTGGTAAAACCAGAAAAAAACCTAATCAGATTTTTTTATTTCATACAAGTTAGTTACAATTTATAATGCACAATCATTATCTATTTCGTATATGCTTATCAATTGACGATAGATAGCATAGTCCTTTGGAATATAGCTATATCACCAACATACACGATTACAATAATGGTAAAGTCCGATGCAAACTTAATGGCGGCTCAGAACATCGTGCGTTTTTATGCGCAGAACACAATAATAGACAGCAGCGGGACGTAACGGAGCGCGGGGGCAGGGCCACACATGACACGCATGACACGCATTAGTGTGTGAGTTACATCCGTACACTGCACATGCGCCCATATTCCTATCTACGTACAGTCGAGTCGACTTGACTGTAGGTACTTGCGGAAACCTGTGTGTGCAGCCTACCTAATTAATACTAATAATTAACTAATTTTTGTATAAATGAAATCATTTAATCTAAAAACATTTGTTTCAGGACCCTTTACTGTTAGTACCGAGAAATGAAGGTGCTTGTCTATGGGCGCCATCTGTGCCTTTTTCCACGGCCCCTGCCTGCACTGTTAATACCAGTTCATTTAGTTGCCATTTGCACACAAATGGCGCTTTTACATTAGAAAGAAGCAAATCAGATGTTCAGGCTGACAGACTGTTACGTACGGAATATACAAACACAGCTACATTTTATACAGATGATAGTAGCACTAGCATAGACAAACGAAATAAAATATGTAATGAAGTCTACTCTCTGGAGAGAAGTAAAACATCTGCCCTTTTACCAGGGAGTTTGAATCCTATAGATGGGTCGATATTCGACAACCGACCGCCGTACTCCAGAGCGGCACCTAGTCCCCCTGTCAGAACGAAACTATCACCTGCCAGCAGACGAGTTGAAGCTAATCGTGAAGTAAGGTACTTTTCGGAGCAAGGACATCACTTAGGTCTTACAGGAATTTTAGATGAAGCACCAGTGAAACCCAGAAGAAAAGTTTCACCAAAAAACCTAGATGTACAAAAAACGGATACTGAGATTACCAGTAACAATACTAGCGCGGGCCATGGCGAAGCCACAGACGATCTGATTAAGTTTTAGCTCATTCTATTACCGGTAGTATATCCCACCAATTATTTAATTTTTATTTTATCCCTTGCCACTTTTTAAATCGTAACTATTTTTAGACTTATAATTAACGTCAGTTAAAGGAAACTGTTTAGTTTACGCTTTGTTGATAAGTTAAAGTTGCCATTCAAAAGAAATCACTCCAAAGTATACCATTCCTCATCATTTATAAGAGCTCTTATAGTCCCAAACATACGTGTAATACGGGGTTATAATATACTGTATACTAATTATAAAGCTAAATAGTGTGTTTTTTGGCATTCATTTCAACTAGTATTATATAGGTGCGCACGAGCAGAGCCGTGCTAGGAGTCGTCGTTCGCAGCGTCAAGTGTGATTTTACAACGACCATAACATACAACTGCCAATTAGTGTGCAGTTTGAAAAGTTTGTTTGCACTTGAACACGAGTTTACACTAAAATATTAATTAAATTTAATTATTTTAGCTGTTTTTTTTATAGTAATCGTCATGTTTTGGGTCCCATATCGTTGGATTATTTTGATAAAATTCAATAAATTGCAAACATACATCTTTTGTCTGCGTTTCCATGATGCTCGAGCGAAACCTCTGTCACTCAACATCTACTGCAAGCTCGATGCAAATCCTTTTATGTTCGTCAAAAAAACCGACAATTGGCGGAGCGCAGTCGAATAGTCACACTACACGAATTTGGGCTCGCCTCGTTCTCCGCTATAGTCGTGCTCGTCTCGTCTAGCGTAGGCCAACCTTTAGAAAATACTTGTTGCTTAAGATGTCCGTGTATCAAAGATGTCATCTTAGTTGACATACTGCTAAAATATGTATTGTGAGTTCACTTTTTGTTTTATACACAACAGAAACATTACTGATTTATATTACCTCAAAGGTTTACAATACCAGTAATAAAAACTATATGTTTTAGTTTAATGTTAATGGATTACTTTCAAAACTAGAGTAACTTTATAATCTATCAATCTAAAAGATAACCAATGCGAAACGAAAAACTTAAATAACTCGAATGATTCTTTGTTCAGGATGTCTTACGGTTACAATTTAGCAGCAAAACAGTTAAACTAGTGTAGTTAGTTACTATACATGTTGAATAATTTTTTTCTTGTATTTCCTACATCAGGTTTATCTATGTCAGTCATCGTATTTTGCATAAACTTCTTATCGAACAATTGTGTACATACTGTGATTATATACTAGTATGTTTATTTTTGTAATTTGAGCTAGTATGTATAAAAGTGCATATTGATGCGGGTTTATGTTAGTAGTCGTAGATAATTGAAGATTGACACCAGCTGAAGTTTAAATAAATGGTTACTGTATTGCAAGTGCATACATTTTTCAAATAAAATAAATCATATTGTTTTGACATCACGTTAAAAGTTACAAGTAACGTTTAATTATTTTGTTCAAGGACATTTTGATAGTATTCAGGACAGTGTGATAGTAGATAGATAGTTGACAGATGCAATTATAATGAATAAAAATTTGCCTACATAAATTGTCTCAAAATTAAATAACATAATATGTATAATAAATATTCCTAAATTCATTTTATTAAACTTTGCGAATTTATTTAAATTACTTTCGTCTATGACCAATAACATCACTGCCGACATTTTATTAAAAAATCTGATCGAAATGTCTAAAATTATATAAGACAGTTAATTGATCAAACACACGATTTTTTTCTTATTACTCAAATATAACGCAAGAATGTAACACTTATTCATGTTCATTCTAGTGCTGTACAATGCTGAGCTTCAAGTCAGCGTTGATCTTCAGCACCGAGACGTTGAAACTTTGAAATTAATCCTGCCCCAGCGCAGTGCATCAGTAGCTATACCATATTGTGGTTATGAATACAATCATACAGATTAGTTAACTTCTCCATAAATTCGCTGACATCCCCTCTAACAAAAACAAAGAATGGAATGATTCGACAATACTCATCGTAAAGGGCAACAGTAGAAAGATATAAGGTACTAGGCATATTGGTATAATCCATATATAAGATGTAGTGGCCAAGTAAATGTTGATTAAATATAGCGAAGTATAATTTACAATATATTTTTTTACTTTTTATTAATATTATATAACGAGACTGTCTGGTTACAAAGAAATCATAGTATTTCTTTACTAGGCAAAAGTAGATTAATAATTATTGTAATGAGATTTTTAGTGTGTACATAAATGAGTATATACATCGAAATGCTTTTTATAATTTAGATAGATTTTGTGTTGTATACAAATCCTCAAACCAAAAATATAGATATACGAAAGGCAGATAGCTTTTTGGAATCATGTTGGTAAAATATATTAGTACCTAGTTTAGAATATAACGAAGGTTGAATAAGTACTTGGTAATCATAACACGTTTGAATTTTGTACTAAAAAAATTCAGTAAATTGGAATAAAAAAATTATGAAGATACAATAACAGTTATGGTGTTATTTTCACATGTATACCTACATATATTTATATCCAGTAAATACATCATAATCACCCAAATTGTTTAATGTTTTCTATCACCTTCTCACAATAATCTCACTATATAGGTCATTACTAATTAGACATAATTAAAAATTATAAAATTGTCTATTGACTACATTAAACAAGTGCATTGCTACATTACATAAGTAAATTATTCTTAACGAAGTCTTATGTGGAAATAATAACGAATGTAAATTTCCAAAGAAAGTATTTGATTAATTATTGCACATTTTATTATGCTATTGCATTGCATGACGGATTAAGAATACGGAGTGTATTCATCCCGTGGGTGTCGAAAGAGCCGACTAAGGGAGCAAACTACCCAGGACAACAGTACTGCAAAGCGAAGGAAAACTTGAAGCGTGGTATAGTAGGCCAAACCTCCTTTGTAAGGAGAGCCCTGTGTCCAGCAGTGTAGCAGTGTGATCATTTTAAATTCTTATACCATACACATAGCCAACACTATTGCTAAGAAAAAAAAACAAAACCTAAACCTCAAATAATAAACTGTTTCAGAAGAAAACTGGTAATATTATTACCATTGTCTTAAGTAAAAAATCGTTTTAAGATCTCTTGTTTCTGATTCATTCGCATTTCAACCATAGAGGTTGAATGACCCACTATTTTTTTCCCTTTCTCGTATTTCCGTAAAGCGGTTCTTACATTTTCGTTGTATTACAACTGGAAGGTCAAAGTAGTCACGTTCTTCTACACCTTACTTTCCGACCACAACGACTGACTTTTGGACTTACGTTATTTATTGGTAAGGTGGGTATTATCATAGCGATTTTGTATATTAGAATGTGTTAAACGACATGCTGATTTCTAGTTGGACCATTATAATGATGAACTGTTTGAAGATTTTAAACGACTTTGAATAAAACAAAATATTGTATAAAACTAAGTTTATTGTGTATGCTGCTTTAAGCTTCATCAACAACACCTTATTTACATAACATAAATACATAAATTTATAGTACAGTGTCTCAGTTAACATAACTAAGACACTTACATTTTGAGGCACTCTTGTTTTAAGGTACATACAGTACTTAACTTACCTAATATGTACTTATAATTGTTCAGTCAAGGCACTGCTTTGACTTCTGTTGACTGTTCTCAAACATACAAAAGTTTACTAATCGACGGCAGAGTGAAAAGATAGAGATCAGTGGCAAAACTTTGTTTTTCAAATTGTAATTAATTTCGACCGTTAATATCACTTAATTAGTAAAGGAAGCCAAATATGCACAAGCATTTTCTTACGATTTGTTCTATTTCAAACATGAGCCGTTATTAATGGCATAGTAACCTTTGTATTGTAAAGCAATGAAAGCCAAGATTCTGTACCTATATTAAGTGCTGATGAAAGTCACAACCTTATTCATGTGGTTTACTTACTTCCATAGCAAACAGAACAAACAAAAACAGTCCTGTGCACATAAATTCCAGAAAGTAATATACCGAAATATTTATTGTTAATATTTCGTAGGTAGTTCTAATAATAAGAATTAAAAACAATGTTTTTTTACCTTACCATAATATCTCTCCCAAAAATGTGTTTCATTATTATAGTCCATGTCACAGAGTACATTTGTATGATCCATGTAAATTTTAGATGTAGTTGGTAAAATCTGAACATTTAATAAAATCCCACGTAGCGTGGGCGCATGATAAGGCTCAGAATCCTATCCTATTAAAATAAAACGTTTTTAAATTTACCCAGTATTCATTGTGATAATTTTCGAGGCCAATTGTTGCAATACATAACACCATAGAGTTAAATAAAAACAAGATTAATAGTATTTTACAAATAACGTTTGTAACGTTTTGTAACAGGTTATATATTTTAAATACACAGTATAAATTTAAGAATAATAAAATTAAAATGTTAGTAATCCATTTAATAATTAAAAATATCAAATGGCAAATTCTGAATCCTATGAAGTATAGATATACAATACTATTTATAGGCACTTGTTTAATGTCTTCACAAGCTTTTTACAAACAATAAAATAAATTTATGGAACGTAAGTATATCCCACAATGCGAGCTAATAATGAATCTTTCGTATCGTTAAGCCACATTGGGAAGCTGCCTTTTCAGTTTTAAAAAAATAGGTAAATATTTCTGATGAGATTTCTTCGTTAAAACTATAACTAAATAGGTAAGTCTACTATAATATGACAATGACGAGATTCTTTTCTTATTCGTGTTTTATAATAAAACTTAGTACAGATGTATGCATAGTTTCTAATTATTGCATATTCGGTATCTAACGTAACGAGTTGTCATCTGATTGAGTAGCTTGCCGGAGCAACTTTTCAAAACAGCTGAGCTGTTCGCTCTTCAATATCTGAAGAAGAATATTAAAACCACTTGTGGTAATTGTACAATAGTGGGTAGTGAGCGTGGCGACGTTCACGTAAACTGCTGTTAGTTACCACCGAAGTCGCGCAGATCGCGGTTGCCGAGCGGCAGTGTCGGCCTGTAGTTGTACAGCAGTTCCATGGCCTCCACGCCGCACGACGCCTCACCGCACTTCAATTTCCGCATCGAAGCCAACTGAAATCCAATCAATAACATAATTAATGACAAATGTTGTTGTTAGTAACTATTTATCGCAATACCAGTTGCAATTAGGAACAGACGGAAGTAATTATTTAGAACTAATGTCTTTAGGCACAATCGAAGTATTATTCCACCTCGATTCAATGTTGGCGCTAAATCTAGACTCGCTAAACCTTTGGCTAGTGCGTAAACATTTGAGATAAAAGCGAATAACAATACACGCATACACATACGCATCAAAAAGATTATGTACCTAAGTGATGTGAGATTATTGAGCCTAAAATTTTCTGAGATAGGTACGGTAACTTGTAAGTATGAAATTAACACGACAAACAACGTCTTCTGTCACTTATTTTTTTCTGTTATGTGGTCTTAAATTAAAATTAAAAATGAGATCTGAGATCAAAATAAACCCTTTTAAAAAAAAAGTTGAACCGACTTCAAAAAACACCGACAAAGAGCACTAAAAATTAAAAAATAATTACAAATCTAAGTAAAAAACTATAATAAGTACCCTCAATGTAACAGGTAACATTACAATACCAATAGTCCCTTCTAGTCGGTTTGAAGTCGGTGCCAAGCCAAATAGGTGCTTAATAGAATGTAGCGCGGCAGCTGCAACAGTCTTCATGCTGCGCAAAACATGTTGAACGAGCTAAAGTGGACGCACATCTCCAATTATATTATTATTTTGAATGCTTTAGTAAGGAGTTGATACGTTTGCGCACGTAATTGATCTGGTTGGTCTTTATTAATTAACAAAATCTTCGATGTTTCATTAGAATTATTTTGAATTCTTAATTTTTCATTGTGCTAATATAAAGCTGACATAGACCAGTATTACTTATTGTGCATCGAGCTTGGCACCGACTTCAAACAGACTAGAAGGGACTATTGGTATTGTAATGTTACCTGTTACATTGAGGGTACTTATTATAGTTTTTTACTTAGATTTGTAATTATTTTTTAATTTTTAGTGCTCTTTGTCGGTGTTTTTTGAAGTCGGTTCAACTTTTTTTTTAAAAGGGTTTATTTTACCATTTTTAGTGTAGGATATGTTTGTAATGAGTAGATAAGTACGATATTTAAAACACTACGTACCGTAATGTATAGTAACAAACTGTAGTTTGTTAGATTATATTAAATATTATATTAAATTACTGCTGGACATAGGCCTCTCCTACATTGGCGTCCAAACTGATCAAGATCAGCTTAAATTCTTTTCTAAGAAACAGTCAAATTCTTGTGAGTTGCAACCGAACAAAATAACTTCCGATTCAATTGACACTGACCTCGAAGGTGAAGATAGGGAAGCTTTAGTGAGACTACTCAACAAATATGCTCAATATTTTATAGAATGAGTTCCAACTAGAAGGGTTAATACTGGTATGTTAGAAATTAACCTAGTTGACTCACACAAAATTTAAGAGTTTTTTCCAGAACTATTTTAATAAATTAAGTATAAAATTACTTACAAACGAAATGCGATGCCATCCATAGCAACAAAACGTCTATCCGAATTATTTTAACAAGATAAAATACAAAATTTCAACCTTTTCTTCTTATTAATACAACGAAAATTACTGTGGTGACATAAATACTGTAAGTTCTCTGCGCATCACATCGCGCAGTCTCTGACGGTTGCCATGGTTTTAAAGAAATACTCGTAGCTAAAACACGTTATCGGGGCTGTCAAATTGTCAATAATTGTGAGGGTTTCCCTCGATTTCTCTAGGATCCCATCATCAGATCCTGAATTGGTGGTAATGGGACCAATTCGGGAGCATACCCTTTCGATTACAAAAAGAATTATTCAAATCGGTTTATAATTGCCGGAGTAATCGCGTAACAAATATACAAAAAAAAAAAAAAAAAAAAAATAGTCGAATTGAGAACCTCCTCCTTTTTTTGAAGTCGGTTAAAAACATACAATATCGGCGTTTAGATTAACAAACATTGTTAGGCCGTTTCCATTAGTATAAATGACTCTTTCTTAAACAGAAACTCTACGTTTTAGTCATAAGTATAAATAAACTTAGATTAAGTTATTCATATAGTTAACCAGTCATCACTATGAGTAGGTTATTTTCTTTTAGTGCCGACAGTGACCTTAACTACAGCAATTTAAATAAGGGCAAAGTGACTTCCATGGGCTAAGTGAAGAAGGTGTACCTACTTAATATATGTGTAATTTAAAGTAGTGTGGGTGTCCCACTGGTCTTATTTTTAATTATATATATTATTATATTTTTAGGTATATATATATTATTTTTACCTAGTTTTTTAAGTACCTAGGCTGTGCCACCTTATCAGCCTTCGTTCTAATAAACCATAATGTGTAAAAGACAATCTGTTATTTCCTATAATTGGGAATTACGTACTTTTCAATAAACACCAAGGATGAACACTGAAACCACTCAATATGTTGCAAATCGATAACTTTGATATGGTTGCTAAACAATTTCGGCTCGTCACTTTGCATAATGTTGAAGTATAGTCGAAGTCCTAGCTGATACTATACACTGACGTCCTTCAGTCGCAAGATTGAACATGTTCCCTTTGTATATGTGTTTTTTTCTGGACTTGAATACTAACCTGGTCCGCAGAAACTTGGATCGGCTGCTTAAATAAAATCCAAGTGACGGATTCAGTGCAAGGTGGAGTGGTAAGTGAACCAGGGTATGTCCAGTAACCCTTCGGTGGTGGAAGTAGCTTTAGTGGGTCCAGAGGATCCGACAGTGTCACTTTGTCGTTCTTATGTGTAACGAATGGTAGCAACCGAATAACTTTATCCAATTCTTCATTCTTGGAGCCAGCCTGGGGAGGAAAGAAACTTAATGTTTTAAATATAAATTTAATCTATACTAATATTATAAAGCTGAAGAGTTTGTTTGTTTGTTTGTTTGTTTGAACGCGCTAATCTCAAGAACTACTGGTCCGATTTGAAAAATTCTTTCAGTGTTAGATAGCCCATTTACCGAGGAAGACTATAGGCTATATATCATCACGCTAAGACCAATAGGAGCGGAGCACCAATGAAGAATGTTTCAAAAACGGAGAAAATTTATTACTATTGAGAGACGCAGACGAAGTTGCGCGTGTCAGCTAGTTTAATTATAAATGTCTACAATCTGATCAGAAACACGGAAACTAAACTAAGTGCGGGGTGGAAGGTAGGTATGCGCATAACTACTTGGCTGTCATTTATCATCATATATTTGCGCTTATTGTGATAATTCAATAATAAATATCCCATAAATTAATCAAATCAAATTAATCAAATCAAAAAAAAATCAAAGCTCGTACGGGAACGTTCTAAGAACAGTAAGTATATCGCACTTAGATATGGCACCTAATAAAAATAATCATTTACCAATTATATAGACAGGAGAGGAGAGGCCTATGTCTAGCAGCGGACTAGTAAAGGCTGTTGATGTGTGATGTGATATGGATAGCTTAGGCTTTGTTACATGGTATGCATGATAAGTAAAATTCAAATGTGATTTATTGTATTCCGATTGCGGCCTTTGCCGGTATATAATCCAGTCCGTCCATCCCGGACTCTAAATATCTTCGCTCCTCTAAATTATATAAAAATTACACTCACTAATTGTTTCACACGCTTACTTAATCTTATATATAAAATTCTCGTGTCACAATGTTCGTTCCCGTACTCCTCCGAAACGGCTTGACCGATTCTCATGAAATTTTGTGTGCACATCGGGTAGGTCTGAGAATCGGCCAACATCTAATTTTCATACCCCTAAATGGTAAGGGTGACCCATCCCTAATTTTTTTTTTGTTTTGCAATACAACGTTTGCCGGGTCAGCTAGTAGTTATGTAAGTATAATAAAGATTTTGTTGTATTGATCTTTTTCATTAATTTTTTGAACAATGTTAAAAAAATGTATTAACGTAAATTAGTGACCTTTACCTACCTTTACCTAGTAATGTAGCATGTATTTCTCTTAAACCTTTTATTTTATTTTCTTGTGTCACTTCCACAAGTCATTTGAAGCTAATGCTCTGTGAAATGTACTACATTTGTTTTAATCCATTCTTGGATACTCCTTGTCTTTTGTTAAGTATATTTTTGTATTGCTCTATGTTAATTACTTGTACCAAATAAATGAAAAAAAAAAAAAGATTCACATTGAACATATGTAATCGATATAGGTATACAACATATACCTAATAATTTGGATTGTGATTACAATGAGGTCGATAAAATGGACACTGAACTCGGAAACTTATTCAAATGCCTCGTATGCAGTATGCGTCGCGTAACAGCACGTGGATAATGCATCTAAAAGGATTTTGTTGTTAGGCTTCAATGACGTAATGGCCTTTTGCTGCTGCTATATTAACTTAATGGACTTGCTTTACTTACGAGCACGCACCGTAGTTAAATTTAAAATGTTAAAGAATTAGAACCAATTGAATTGACGGGTTTACTACCTTAATTTTTGACGTAGGCAGTTACCTCGTTGTCTTTGTTCATAATTTTTGTTTTAGTTCGATCCTCGCACGGGACAATTATTTGTGTGATTCACCGATAATTGTTCTGAGTTGAGTGAATATACTTTTCGACCATTGAAAGTGCGTAAAGTGATTGGCCGCTATAAAAAGAAAATTCTACCAAAGTATGATTTTATAGATATGTTTATGGAAAGACATTCAGACTTCGCCATTTCTACTGATATGATTGACATATGATATGATCTGTTGACGTAATCGATAGTAGCGGCAAACAGAGTTAAGGATAAACGGCAAAGGTTTGTAAAGTAAAAGCTTTAATTTATAAGGAAGGAAATATAATAATTAATAAGTCTGTTTATTTTCCTGTCTAGCAAAATACTACCTCTCTACATTCACTGTTATTCATTTGATTACACAACATTGCATGCATTGCACGCTACTTTATTAAGAAGGCTGACTGACAGCTGGTTTGAATGTTCACAGCGTGACCTTTGTCCGAAAAGAAGTAGGTAATGTAGTGCTTACATATTTTGAATTAAATAGTTTGGATTGGCAGCAAGAATAAATAAAACTGATTATTTGATTCAGTTCAATGGAAATGTAACAATTTACATTCAATTCAGTCAAATTTGGTCACTGCTCATGTGACCACATGAGTAAGACATGAAACACAAAGTTGAAAACATACACCTTTTTTTCCTAGGTAGGTATCACAATTAAAACATGTCTCATTACCTAATGTTGAATACTTTTTAATATTACACTAATTGGAATTTGAATAATAATACTAAATAACTACTTAACTAACATTTATGCAAACAAAAAAAAACCACGTGAGTAAACAAACAGATCAGAGACAAAACTTCTTAAGAGCGTGTAAAACTTTATATCTGTTTTCATAAAGTTGACAAACAAATGATTACTAGTTTCTATCTGTCTACATTATTATTAGTCTTATTTTGTTTCTCTATTACATAGAATGAATAAATGATGCTTGACAGAATATAAGTAATATTATTTTTAAAAAGTTCTTAGTCTAGGTTTAAAAGTATTTAAGTGCACAAAATTTATTTTTGTTCCAACCGGGAATCGAACCTGGGACCTGGAACCTCGGAAGTGCGACGTGATATCTGTAGAGTAACGGGTCTCCGTAACTTTACGGATATCACGTCGCACTTCCACAACTGTCTGGTTATATGAAGTTTTGTGTCTGTTCGGTTTCATTAATATGTACTAGGTACAATCCTAGCAGTTTTATATAATCCATCACTTTGAAATTTTGCATACTCGTTTTCAGTAATATACAGAACGATATAGGGTACCTTTCATCCTGAAAAATGTACTTTTCCTAAAGGATGAAAAAATAATTTTACAAAAGCTGTGAATATTACTCACTCGCTAGCTATTATGGTAAGTGTTTCTAGTAAATAGTTAATACTAAAGTGTTAGCGTATTTATAAACCGTGGTACAAATGGTAAACAGTTCGAGCTAAATAAACCGTAGGTAAAATAACATTTATATCATCGTACTTGATTCATGCTAACTTGAATAGCTATTAGAATAACAAATTAAACAAATATCGTTTACCACATTTTGCCCGCGGCTTCGCCTGCGTGTATATTGTTTATCGTAGTAAATAGTAGCCTATGTCCTTCCTCAAGAATGAAACCATCTACATACCAAGTTCCATCTAAATCGGTTTAGCGGTTATTGATTCCCCATACAAACACCCATAAAAACTTCGACTTCCCAGAAATCATCCTTTAAGGCGGTGAAAAAGGGTTTTTCACCCCCTTAAAGGATGATTTCTAGGATAAAACTATCCTGTGTCCTTTCTTAGAACTAAAAATATCTCTATACATCATTTCATTTAAATCGGTTCAGCGCACTACACACTTTCGTCTTTATACTAATATAATATTAATATTAGTATGAATAGATTGTATTGGTAGATACAGTTAGAATAGGAAAATCTTTTTTTAATGATGTCAGTCGAAATTTATATATCAAATAAAAAATTTAAATGATTAGAACGAACAACCGACGTGAATTGCATTTAAAAGAAATCTTGAGGATGTCTTATTGTCGTCGTTGAAATGCGTTCAACAGCATCACTCAGAGAGAAAGTAAATACCAGTATCGTCAGTGGTAAGTGCTGCTTGTTATTATACTCATCTCTCGTAATTTATATGACCATTCATGTTTCAATTTTAATTTATTATTTTTTAAATTTAAGAGATTATTTTAACAAAAAAAAATATGGTTATTCTTAACTATTAAAATAAAAGGAACTTTTTTACTTTCTTCCTACTTCGAACACGAATTTCTGATCAGTTACTGCTCAGTTGTAATATATTAAGACACAAAGAGTATTGATGTAAGTATATGTCTAGAACATAGGATATTAACATAAAAATGCTGATCTTACCATTAAAAATACGCCTAGCACTGCCAGACCATCGGGTTGCCCAGCTGCTTCTGAGAAGCTGTTGTATTTGGAAGTGTTCCAGTGGACGAAGTGGAGTTCGCCAGAGAAAGCGCGGCCGTCAACAGTGTGCTCCGAACCTTCGCCGTTCTTGGCTCCCCAATGGCAATGCCACTGTTCCAGCTTGTACACGTCTTTGCCGAGCGGACCGCCTCGAAGTTCTGTAAAACATTATATTTCTTCCTTTTATTCCTTAACTTATTTAAAAACGGTGCGCAGTGGTTTAAGGTTGTTTGATCCACAAATTGTTGTTCTGAGTTTAGGTGTTCTTTGTGTCCGTTTCACAAATTTTTCTAGTGCCCCCCGCAACACAGGATATATTCCCAGCGAAGGAGTTATCTTTTTAAAAAGGCAAAAAAAGAACTAAAGTCATAGTTGGTAATTGTCTCGAAATACGCGAGTCATGGTCACTTATTCAGTACATGGCATAATGAGAAGGATTTAATTATTTCCAATGTAATTAATGGGATTTGCACAAAAAAAAATGTGTTGCGAAACAACGCAGACTCTCCTAGCTGTATCTGTTTTTTTGCAATGACATATTATTACCACATCTCAATAAAATGACAAAAAATTAAATGTAACATAGAAGTCATATCTAATAATCATATTGGATATTTAAATCTAAAACAAGAAAATAAATATTTATAACGAACATATAGATTCAGAGGCTAATAGGTGACGTCAGTCCGATTTCCCCGATATTCGTCACGGGTTCAACCCTATTCAAATGTCAGTCCAAAATTTGCGGGCACCCGTCATCTTGCTGGCAAATTGTGTAAGACAGGAACGGGTAAGCCGATGAGTCATTGTGAGGGATACATCGTTTCAATGCAAATACAAATTGTCCTCACTTATCGCAAGGACTTTCAACTTCCGTTTGTCAAACGCCCATATAGCATACAGTTTTGATATTTGAATTGACAAAACAGTAGGTATAAGTGGTTGATTACATTACATTGTTTGGGCAAATATTTAAATGGTATTTATACTTAAACATCGCAAATTAGCATTTATTTTTATTGGGTGATAACCTCGAACGAAAAGAGCGAATATGTTTTACAGAATATACTTATTCTTACACCTTTTTATCTAAAAGCGACTCGGTGCTTAACCTAGGTACCTATAAAATTTGTATAAACATTTTATTTATTGTGGAAATATTGTTATTTGTTTCGGTGACTAATGAAAACAGACTTGGAAAAGACTTGGATTAAAAGCTTCATAAAATCAAGCTTTCAATAAAAAATAACAGCTTGACGAAACCATAGACATTACACAATCAACTGAACCTATGTGTTCCATTTTTTCGTTTGTAATACGCAAAAAGAACCCAAACATAAACATAATTGTACATTGTTATACCGTAACAATTAATATCTTTCGTTTATGAAAATACTTTTAATCAGTTACAATAGGGGACTATTAATTAGACTTAAGGGATATATAAACTTTGACCAATAAGAAACAAAATGTCGACTTTAAGATGCTTACATTACTCGTATAAACTCTTCGGCGTGAAAAGAACCACATGTTCGACAAATCACGTTGTTTGTTTGAAGTTTTTAAAATAATGGAGTTGTAATGTTTTCACTTTTCATCAAATTCAAAAAAACAAAGCTTGATCATCACCAATTGCAATTGGTAAAGACATCACGTAACACAAAACAAAACGCTTGTAGGTATATACCATGAAATTGAGCATAAAATGTTAATCAACTAAATTTAAGTAATGATCTTGTCTACAGTGTTCTTTTTTACCCAATAAAATGTATGTCCATCCTTATATTCACTGATCCTAATAATTAAACTGCTTAACCGATTTTGATGTATTTTATTACGTTAAATTTGTCTTACTTGAGAGTGGCTTTGGTTATTGATTTATTGTTATTTATTATAATTAAAATTACAAAAAACTAAAACGAAATGAAGTTAGACAAAATCTATGCAACTTACTTTATCTTGTTATTTTGAAGAGCTACATCGTCGTTTTGGACTAACATGCTAAAATTGTGTAATATTAAACGCTGCACGTTTACAAAAAGTGGGCTGTTGACCGTGATTTCATTCTTGTGGTAAATACCAAAATATAGAAGAAGATACATAAACTGAAGTGATATCAATCTATGCAGATAAAAAAATCCCAAACGGTCGTCTGATCCATAAGGCATGTTGTATTTTTTCATACCGATTACTTTCTACAAAATACGCCTCTAATCATATTGAAAACTTATGTAAAGCAAATACCTTTCAAATAGGTTTTGACAGTTTGTGTCACTTTCTCTACATCTGTGGTGTCTCCACAAGTCGTGGGTTCGATTCCCACCCATACCAAATATTCGTGTGATGAGCACAACCAATTCTTTTGTGTCTGGGTGTAATTTATGTATAATATGTATGTATTTAGAAATATTTAAGAATGTTTATTTGCAGTCTGGTTATAATAGTACAGCCTTTGCCTAGTTGTTTGCTATTATTATGTACTCTTTGTTACAGTAAAGGTTGACTAGAATGTTGTTCTTTATTAAATATCGGCCGAAATTATTATATATATAAAAAAACCGTCTAAAAGCACCTATATATAAGCAATTAACAACGCAACGGAATAAAGCATTAAAAATTACCGTTAGTGTTATTCACCGACGTCAGAAAGCCGACATCTATGGCTGTTCGAAGGTCAAAATTGGTTCAGCAAACGCGGAGATACAGTTTGATCTGTTGTTTGTCCGCCCGAATACAGCTGAGGTCATTATCACACATGTCTATTGTTTGTTTTGAACAATGCTTTCTCTGACCACTATTGTTCTTTAAAAAAGGACATTATTATCTGACATATATCATAAGTCTGACCTTATCATAAGTACCTATATATACCTACTGTTAATATTTTTTGTTATACGGTTTGATTGAGTGACCCGGGTAGTTTAACAAAATAAGAGATATCATTTTATAAATTTCAAGAAGTCGTTTGCTGTGTATAATGGCTTAACATTGTCTAACTAAGATAATATTGTCTTTAAACTTGAATTCCAACTTCTGGGTTCAAGTTTCTCTTGTAATTCATATTCAATTTACACATAAATGCCTTTTCTATTATTTCTAAGTTTTTGTATTTTTAGACATAAAAACATAAATAAAGGAGTTTTATCGTACCCGAGTGATATCCATTTTCATCAACGCGCCAACAGTATCCAGGATTGACAACAGAGCGGGGATGGTTGACAGAGTACTTCATATTGAGAGGGGGCGCGCTACCGCCGCTGCTGATGCGCGATGTGTCAATGTCTACGGGGCTCTGCCGGGCTCCTCGGGCTTCTGGGAATTTCTCGATCCATGTTGCCGGGCCTGCAATACACAACCAATTAGAAAATATTTAAAATATTAATGCATCTAATACCATAAATATAGTTAAATTTCCTCCCTGACTAAATTAATATGTTAATCTCTCTTTACGTTTGTTAGACCTAAACTCTAAGTTGAGGAAAACTGATGCGAAACAATGATCAACATTACTTTTTAAAAACTATAGAACATAATTGCTGTATAAACAGTGATCTTATAACTTAATCTTATAAATTTTTAATTTAAGTCAAGATACCACATATCTTGACTTAAATTAAAAATTTCAGAAAAAAACTTCTATGAATCTTAAAACTGCAAGTGCTATACGTAGAACATTATGATTTTTGACCGAAAAAACGGACATCTAATTTCATTTACATCCATTGATAAACGAAATCGTTTTCAATGGAAGAGTAGAACTCCCGTGCGACAATTTTGATTTAAAGGTAAGATATTTGTCATTAAAGTATTTCTATGAAAAATGTAAAAATATTTTTAATTCGAAAAATAACACTTTTTATTGCTTATAGGACATTTACTTAAATTAACAAACACGATTGTTTGCAACAAAAATATTCCCTCAAAATTCTATGCTTAAAAAGAACGGAGAAATTAAATGTTTTGTTGTTTTAGGTTTTATTTTTTAATTCCTTTGTGAGGAAGAAATGAGGTCCTCTTTTTGCTATGGTTACAGTTTATCAAAATATGCGTCACCAAAAATTCCACAAGTCCAAATTCCATTGAATTTAGGAACTACAACCTACTAAAGTTTTTTAGATAATTTTGGTTTTAGGGTTGGTTCTTTTTGTTTCAAATTGTTTTTTTACAGTTAATATAAAGTAAAAACTTTTCAACCATTTTTTTTTTATTTGTGATACATTTATTGTTAACCCGCGGCATTTAGCGTAAAAAGTAGTTTTGGGATTAAATATTGAAATAATATTGATAATTGGTTGAAAATTTACATTTTTATGAGATCCTTCAGTTTTGACTTCGGTAATGGGTCAGGGTAAAAGTCTGCGTACTTTGTATAGGTTGAATAAGGGAAACTAAATTGAAGAAATATCTCTCTGGTTGAACTATTTATATCTGGCTGGTTTTAATATCAAAAATAAATTTAGACTGAGAAAATTAAACATACTTGCCCAATTTTAATGGTTTTTCTGTAAGCTAAAATGAGTGAATCTAATGAAGAAATTCGATACACTTTAAAGTTTTATTGCAAAAAATGCATTTGTATATAAAATACAAAGAAACTTTTCCCCTGACCTTATACGAGTATTATAAATCAGTAAAAATTATAAAAATAAAGTTGTAAAGTAAAAAAAATTCGAAGGTAAATAGTAAAAGTATACGAGCAATCTTATCATTAAAAAATACTAAGTTACTAAAAGAATGCAATGAAATACCACAAGCACTTTATTTGAAGAAATTAAATAAAGTCATAAAATATGAAAATTAGAAACTAAAACTTTAAATTAGACTATGAATGCTATACGTAAGACGTATTTGTGTTCCATGTGTCTTTTTGCACCAGTCTTTCGTACTCGCTCTGTGTTTAGTCGTAGAAATCTACATAAAATTGTTACCTTAATTTGAGTAGGTATATTTTGTGTCCTTTTCGTTAACACTTTTTTGTTTTGTACTGGTTATGAAATTGTGTTATGCATTCTTTTTTTATCTATGTTTTATTTATGTACCTACTTAGATTTTATGTTCATTGCGTTGCGATTTATCTGTGTGCTTTTAATTTCTAACTGATGGCGCAAATGTTAGGGGCCAGCTGAAAACCAGTGCTGTGATTTCGCTCAGCGCTAGTTTTCAGCTGTGTGGTTTTTAAGTGATCCGTGTCATAACGGATTAATAATACGTAGTGTCACCACTGCTATTTATCCCGTGGGTGTCGTGAGAGCCGACTAAGAGATCAAACTACGCAGGACAACGGCACAGGGCAAAGAGAAGGAAAACTTGACAAAACAAACCCTTTACCGACCTGCCTGGCCAGCGTGATATTGCTATTGCTGAACTAAAACCATAACTTTACTGTATAGTAAAACATCAATAAAAGTTTTTACAGAATCTGTTAGAAGTATAATTTTTAAAATTGTTAATAATTAATATATTTTCCTTTTTTTATGCGACAAAATTCAAAAGCATTGAAAATTATTTAAACAACTTGACCTTGACGTAAACCTCGCGATAAGCTTTTATTAATTAATTAACTTAATTTAAATTTTAAATAAACTTACTACTACAATTAAAAATTTACTAAAAGCAAAAGCTGATAAATAAAAATAGATGTTAGATTTAAATTATATTCTGTATAAAATATAAAGGAAATGTGACTTGCCTGAAAATTTTAAAACGTCACGTTTGTAACTATTTGTATGTAATTTTGTAATACAGCCATATTAATTTTGTAATAGACATTTTTTGAAGCAAAAGTAAAACATAATATGTTTAAATGTAATAATTTATCTTTGCTATCTCTATATGATCATAGTTAATATAAAAATGCCGTGAGCGTAGCTGCATTTTACTTGATTAGAAGGTTATCATTCCGAATTTTATTATTTATTTATTTACTACACGAATATTTCATTGTCATAGAGCTCGGACATTCAGGCAACAGCCTATTCAAGTTACAGGTATGGAACCCTTCGACCTAATGCTTTCACTCCCCAATCCATCCGTACATTTTTTTTTTCTTTCCTTCTTATCTCCCTTTTCTAACAATATACTCCTAATGTTGCCGATCAAATCACAAAGTGCCCAGTTGACTAAAATTAAGTGGGATTAAAATTGTTATAGTTTGCCAAATGTTGGCAAAATGTGGCATTTAAAACACGTCTGCCTACTCCTTCTGGGTTCTGAGCGGGTATTGTGAATGTAGTAGCAGGTGTAACAGGTGTGATATAAGCAAACAGTCACTTTTGGCTTATGAAATAGTATTTTAAGCAACAAAACAAGTCTTCCAGAAAAAAACAAAGCTGTGACGTGATTTTTAAAGTTTATTCGTGTAAGAAGCATCGACTGAAACCTTGAGTGCTTACTAATATGTAATAATAAGCAAAGCTTATCATTATCGACGAGAAAAAAATTGTCGGTGTACTCCCACAAATTCCTAATGAAGTCTACGGTAGTTGTGTCGCCGACCCAGCGTCACAGGTCGGCGCGGCGATCGCGTCAATCGTCACATTAGGTCATTTCGTGCCAGCGGGGTGTGGACGTCCAATATTAAAAACAATTTACCACATATTTGTGTTCTTACATGGCAGTTTGACATGATCAGAAATTTTTTTTAGATTATATACAAAACCGTTATGTGTAATCGTATAGGGTATTAATTAGTAATCGTTGATATATTTGCAGCAAATTAACATCCAACAGTATTTGTTTAATTTATGCAACTTTTTTTTGGTATATTTATTAGTGGTTACATAAATACAAGTACATGGTTTTAAAACTTGTTAAGTTACAAAAATATTGTGATTTGATTGTATTAATATTTGTTTTAGTGGTTAATTTAAAGAACGATAAACGTAGATTATGTTTGGACTTTTCTATGAGTATTAGTTATCCGTAAAATATATAGACATTCTGCCTGCATATAGGATCCGCACACAGGTCCCAATTTAAGACAGACTAGATAAAATAAAAACAAGCGACACGACTGGTTTCTTTGAATTTTGATGAAATGTTTTCGACGATGCTGCTTGCGGCCTCAGCGCGCAATGACGGCAGCTCGCGACGCAGTCCGTAGAACGCTCACGTGCGTCATACATCCAAAAACATTACACGACAATACTTTCTAAAGTATTTATTTGTGCCTATTATGTGATTTTTTAAATCCCTGCTTTTGGGGATTTGAAATAATATATTATTTGGTTTAACAGTAATGCCATTTGCTGCTGCATTCTGCAGATCGTGTCGGATCTGATATTTATGTGTTTAGTAGAACGCGAAAGTTTTTTATAACTCTTTCTAAAATTTACCTAGGGAATAAAACGAATGAAGATTCAGTAGGTCATAAAATATTTGTGCAAACATGTCAAGATTACAAAAGATAACTTGCATTAATATACCGTATTTTCTTGTAAATTCAAATTTTTCGCCTCTGTCATTTTGTCACCTTAAGTGATGACTGAATACTTAGCCATACAAAATTATGAAGATTTTTTGACAAGTTACTGTTAACACCCGTTTCCTTATCTTTCTTACATATCACTGTTTCCTGGTCGTCAACCGATGAGAGTGCTCACGGTAACACTTAGATAAAATATTATACCCGACTTTGGGATTTCCGCGACATTTGATAGACATTTATATCGTAGTGAATACAAAAACATAAACATTTGCATAATGTTATTGACTGCTAGTACCAAGACTATGTATGTGTGAGTAACGTTTTAAAAAAGGTTTGGACATTTTAAACTGGCAGTATTTTAAATGACGTGTGATGACTGATGATGTTTCCCACGCGTTAGTTCCGTACCAATTGGGCAACGAAATCACAAGTTTAGAGAGTTCGAATGACAATGTTCCTCAATGTCTTTGCAGAACACATGACAGTTTAAAATTAAATGAGAAAAAACATTTCGAAGCGAGAGTACACGTAAGTAAAACGATATGAGTAAAAGTTCAAACAGCACTGTTTCATAATGTTATTAGATAACAGAAACTTACGTTATTAGATGTAATGATCGGTATAATTTAAATTGCGATATAGCACTTGAAGACGACGACACCTGTACATAAGAAATGATTACAACTTTAGGTATTATCTTCATAATCATTTCCACCTGTATATATTTAGGAGGCTGAAACTAACATTAAATTGAAAGATTCTCTTTCAAAAACATCCAAAGCTAATTTAGTTCACCTTGATGATTGTGGTCATGAGATTGCATAGATAAGTATTGAGATCAACCAATTGATTACGCTCCAGGACCGGATACGCCTTTATTAATAATAATCGCCAAAAACAATATAGATATCATAAT